GGATGTCTGCAAAATGAGAATGAAGCCAGCATGGCCACAGTTCCCTCTTTGAGGTCCAACTGTGCACCTCACATCTGGGGACCTTACTTTTATTGATGATTTACACATTTGAAAACACTCATTCCTTCTCAAAGCGTGCTCAGTGTGAAAGAAATGCCATGCTAAATTACCTAAAAATACAATCTATTTGAAGTTACATAAAGTGTGGGTGATGTTAGCCTGTTAGAAAAGCTAACAGTCTAAAAACATGTAAAGCACATTGTAAAATAAAATCTCCTTCAGAATAAAACCTTACCCTAAAAAGGTAATAGTAACAAAGTCTCCAAATACAACAAGCATATTAGCTAACTCAGATCAGTGTTAGTATTATGCTTAGTAGTATTAGTACATGGTTATTATTTTCAGCATATGACAGTTGCTTGGTTGCTCAGTTCCCAATTTCAGAAGACATCCAGGGCCTGTGCTGCTGGCCTTTGTGGGTGCCTCCCCTGTGGCTGCCATCAGTCTCTGATTTAACTGCTTAAAAATGACTCTGCTGAATTCAACTGATTGTACATTTTTAAACAATCAGAATATGCAATGTGTGAAATATGGTAGTGCCCCTACAGTAGCAAGCAGAATTGCAACAACTTTACAACAACCTATGTTGCACTACCAAGCTTTAGAAATTTTGGTGTCATGGAAACATCCATAAATACAATGGCTAGCCTGCTAGGTAGCAGCAAGCATCATCTTTAAAATATTGATGCTATTTTGATAACCTAACAGTCAGGATTTCACTACGTTTTGCCACACAAACTACTTGGTTAGGTTTAGGGAGCAAAACAGCATTATTATGTATAGGAACAAAAATTTTTGAAAAACACACTGGAATTGAACGCCACTCATCTAATTCTCTGGGAAAGCCACAGAGAATGAGCACCTGACTGGCAGCTCCCCTCAGCTTGACAGAGGCTTTTAGTATCTTTCAGCTCATTGTTTTGATTTTATGGCCCAAACCTTTATTCTTTTGGTGCACTGTCATTGCTCTCACGGAAACTATTGGGATCCAAGACAAACTCAGGCCATTAGTACATTATAGGATGTGTAACAGGGCTGTCCACAATTTTTAGGCTATATACTGTATCGATTTATTTTTCTGTGTGTTTTACTTGTTGAACTCATTGATGAGTCAGGCTGAATTAGGATGAAGTGATTTCTCTCTCTGTGAATCAGAGCTTCAGAAATGAAGCACCTCTTTAATTCTTGAAACTACTGAGTCAGAACAACAGCACATATAAAGACTGTCTTCCTGTCAAAACAATCCCAGAGGTTGTCTGCACAAGCAGCTTTATTATGACCCATACTTACCTTTCTTTTATTATTAGCCAGCATCTGGAGGAGGCCCTTTACACAGGAGACTGCTGTCAACTGAGAGTCAGTGTTGTTTCTTTGAGCCATGATCTTTTCTTAAATCTAACCAGGTTTTAACCAGCTGTGACCACACTGCAACCTTAATCACATGTTTAGCATTGTTACCATGATAACAAAGGTCTGGCATACCTATGTTTAAATAAATGCATGAGGATGTTTTGTTGTGACATAATGCTTAGCTATAGAATGAGACAGTGAGGTGAAACAGTCTTTAATCAAATGATACTAAAGATCTTCTCGTGTGAGACATACAAAATGCGCTAGTTAGTACCCCAGAAATAGCCCCTCCATATAAAGCCACAAGGTGCTGCAGAACCATAGACCTCCAGTAGAGAGGGATCTCACTCTCAGGGGATTTACAGAAAACTGGGATCATAAACATATTTTGGTTTCTGATATTTTAGTAACCGTCTAAATTTAACTGGAGTTTAATAATAAATTATTAAGATACTGACAAATTCTAGGCATGAACAAACTGACAAATTCCAACATCCTATGCAGACTGAAATCTCAGAATACAGCTCAAAGTAACAGAGACCTAACGGGTTAAAGTTTGGACTCATCTTTGGTTTGTTGTTGAGGTCAGAGATAATCTTAGTCACTTATGGTAATGACAGTGTTTATGGAAAATCTTTCAATGATATATCAGACAGACTGTTATCAGGCAAACACATAGTCTGTCCAGAAAATCTCTCTCAGAGGGAAACAGGAGCCTACATACTCATAAATAATAATATAACTTTGTGTACTGTAACTCAAATAATGCAGACCGTGCAAATAAATAATAAAGACACTAATAATATAATATAATAGTAAAGATACCAGTAGACTGCCCATATATGCGTGTGTATATACAGTCATGGCCCAGCACAAAAAAAAAGCTGAGAAAAAAAAAAGCCAAATTTGATACATTCCACGCAGAACTCGTTTTTGTGATGGTCCAATGCAAACAAAAGAAATAAACATGAGAATACCAAAGAATTTGTGTTTGCAACAATTTTCTGGGAGAAATGGTGCATTATCTGACAGAAATGCAGGGGTACTGATATTTTGGCCGTGGCTGTATTTGTGTGTGTGTATATATACACACTTTTTTTTACCAGATTGCACAGAGTTGAGCACACCCACACATCACACCCTCACACACACAAACCACAAGTAAAATCTCCTCATGTTCTTTTGTAAATGTCCTGCATCTGTTGCTTTGCCTTCAGTGTCCTGTCCTGTCAACCTGCTGTTTTGTGTTGCAAAAAAACAAACAAAAAACAGATGCAGACCTCTACTGTACAGAGATCACACAGTTGAACCTTTGAGTCCATTGAAAATGATTACAAAATTGTATTTATTTTTGTGCCAAATTTCATCCCATGACAAATAAACTATGGTCATTTTAACTAGTCATCAGATTTAGCAGGCCCACGTTCAGTTGAGATCCAGTCCTGTTTCCCAAAGATTATGTTTATTTTTTACAAGTGTGCAAAAACAAATAAGCTGCTGAATGCAGGAAATGTAATAACATGTAGTCTGCATTTTAAATGTTATCAAGAAAACACTTTAATGAACATATCTGGTTTTCAATATGTTCATACTGAGTTTTCGTCAAACTCTCCTTATCAATCAGTTTTGTCCAGTACAAAGTGTACTGTAACAAACTTGAGGTATGTGAAGAAAAAGCTGCCAGAAAATAAGGGAAAAGTGATTGTGGCACAAAGGCTCATGGTCCAGAGTGCATTATAGTGGCAAGCCCAGTTGTGCACACTATACATTCAAACAGTATGCAGACAGAGACCAGCTGGGGAACATACAGCAGCAGAAGGGCCGGATATTTCCACTAGGAGTTGGTGGAGCCCTGAAATAAGCCATAAAAGAGTTAATAATGGGCTTACAGAAGCATTACTCCAAATAAATGCTAATGCTCCTCTGTGTTTGCTGGTGTAAATAGACTAAATGTTTGCTAACATGTTCAGCAAATTAACTTGATAAGGTGATAACACTGTTTGTATGTTTACATTTTGTTTGTGCTGCTTCCAAGTGGCGAAAAGAATTCAAGTCTTTGCAACACTGACTAAACAAGCCAGGACTTAGGAAAGCAAAAGGCTTCTGCCCCTCACATACTGTGTCAGAGGAAACAAAACAGACAATTGTAAATGGTCTACTGTCCAAAATACTGTATGTCATTTCTTTCTTTGCTCATGTGTAAATATCTTCCAAATATCATATAATCTACTAACGTTCAACATGAAAGCTCATTTTTGGCCTTTAAATAAATTTAAAAAACAATGTATTGATGAACTAGTGATAAATATTTAGAATGAATGCTGATTAAAACTGAACTGAATCTACAGCAAAACCCAAATAAAAGTTAATATACTGAAAAGTGTGGGAAGACAAGCCTCATCATTAAAACTATATGAATCTCAAAATCCCTTATTTCTCAGTTTAAGATTTATGAAGACGCCTTTGATCTGTAACCAATAAGTACACAAGTAAATGCATCTATTTAATGTTTTTTTTTACATGAACCCTTATCAAAGCTCATTTTAAAATCTATCCTTAAATAAACCCTTAAACCTCTTCCAGAATCATAATGTTTAAAAGAGACATTAAGGGCCTTTAAGGGATTGATTCATGTTTTGGTTGGTAGTGAAGTGAGTCTCAAAGACAGGGAGTGATCCAACCAGCTGACCAGTTTACGTTCAACAGTCTCTAGTCTCTTTATTTCATCCTGACTTCAGGCCGGCAGATTTGAGTATTTTTGTGTTAAACTGTTTGGTAGAAAACGTTGTGTTGCTGTTTTTCCATATTCTGCTCCAGATGGAGTGACCCACTTAACTGAGAGAGGGAGAGAGGCTCTGTGCCATTTCTGGTGACTAATACCCCCTCCACCCACACCTCAGCACACACACGTGCACACATACACAGCATGCTGTCTTGTTGTTTCTGTGTTTCTGCTTTCTGATGATTCTGTTTGTTAAAAATAAAGACGTCTGTGAATAAATGAGCGTTGACAGTGAACGTCAGTGCCAGTTATTGTAGTTTCACATGTTTTCAGCTTAGAAACCCTCAGCCCAGCACTCTCAGCTGTCTTGTGACTTTTCTCTTTTTTATGAAAAGGGACCTTTAAATTGAACAAAAGGCGTTTTTTGCACCAAACCATGACACTTTACAGGAACTTTTCAAATCGAATGAAAGAATTATAAAGTGGGAGTTTTGATTATGATATTTCCAGATTCTTCATATTTGCCCTCCACTTACAACAGGTTCTCTGTCCTTTGGCATTAAACTCCACTATAGAAATGTATAAAGTGTTATCTTTGATGAATTTTGACTATCATGTGGCATCTGTTGTCCAGTCTTGCTTCCTGCACCTTTGCAGCATTTCACTAAAAACTGAGGAGGTTGATGGTCGACTTGTAATGCTGATGTCATGTTGATTATTTCTTTAGTTTTGCATTAGATAAAATACAACAATTTAATGACAAATGAGAAAAATATATGCTAAACTTAAATGACCATTTATTTAAGACTAATGCATTATGAAAATATTTTAATTATTTCAAGTATCTGAAAAAAAGGGCACTGTTGAGCATGTTTGCTAGATGCTGCATTCCCCTACTTATGTCCACAAGTAAATAAAAGAACCTCATCTCTGTAAAGAAAATAAAAAGACACTAACAAGGCTCCCTGCAAATGTGTCTGCAGACATTTTTTGTTCATTGACCAGTGGATTAGGTACTTAATGCCAACAAAGTTTTAATAATAAAGGGTTTGTATTTTTTTTAAATCACAGAGATAGCACTAACTTCTGACCTTCACTTTGATTTTTACAGGTCTTTTTGGATCCAGGTAGGAATTATGTTTGGAAATGTGTAAGGCAACAGTTCAAACATTGTATTCATGGTATGCTCAGTTTTTCTTGAATATGGTTAAACTGATATTGAGAAACACAGTCACCCTGTGCTGTGCAAATTGCATTGAATTCATCTTTAACATTTACTGCTGATCAGACAAACACCAGCTGATGGAAATGGGCATTCTTCTCCACTGGACACCCATTAAATGAACAAACAAATGAAGGTGAAGTGGTTTCACTCCCTGAGGATGGTCGCCCATGCTACCAGGTAAAACGTCACCCATGCATGTACATGTGGACTTGGTGGAGACTTGGGCTCCAGCTGGATCTGTGCATGATGTCAGACAGGATGATCTTCAGGACAACAAACTGCTGCAGATGTGGACACATCTGGAAATAGATAAAGGAGGACCGGAGGGAACACCAGTTACCATGAGCAGCAGATGATATATTCCTCAGTATATTTATTCTAATTATAACATGAAATAAATGTGCACATACCTTTTTCAATAGGAGTGGTCACAGCACAAACTGTGTCCTGGTCCCCTCGACTCTGCTCCTCTGTTCTGTCTCAAAGACAAATGGCATATAAGGTGAGTAACCATTCCAAACTTCAGAGGTGTAGAAAGACAAACTCCCAATGAGAACAAATTCTGAGTGGACATCACATTAATATACATTTACTTTTCCAATAAGAACAGTTCACAGTGCAGCTGTCTCCTGTCTTCTCCTCTGGTCTCATCTCAGCTCTTTTCTTTTTCTAAAAGTCTAATGACGCATTCAAAGGGAAGAGCACAGTAAGTTCAGCACTGAGGTCAACAGGACAACTATTGGTCAATATAGAAATTCTGATCATCTCACTTATCTTTTTAAATGTGACACCCTCTTCTCTCTCCTCTGCCTAAAAGTCAAATGACAAATGGTTAGATACAGGCTGATAAGCAGTTTCAGCAACCACAAGAACATTTGATCACTATAAAAATTCTGATAATGACAGAATAAATGCTTATTTATTTTTGTAAAGAAGAGGGCCTTCAATGCACAGGGGTCCTCGGCTCTCGTCTCCTCTGGTCTTGATTCATTTCCTTGCCTCTTTATAAAGGCAAACAACAGATGAGAAGGAACAAAAGGTTATATAAACAGAACAGCTGTTAATAAGTAACAAAACTGACAGCAACATGAAATAAATATGCATTTATCTTTGTTAATGAGAAGATTCACAATGCAGCTGTCTCCTGGATGTCTCTCTCGGTCTGGTCAAGTCTGTGTGTTCTTGGTCTGGATGCATTTCTGCTTCTATCCAAAAGACAGAAGACACATCGAGAGAGACAACAGGTCATAAACAACTTCATCAACCAGAAGAAAATTTTTACTGTATAAGAATTTTGATATTAATTCAGAATAAATGTATATGAATCTTTTTAACTGAGATGGTTCAGTGCAGCTGTTTCTCTTCTTCTCTCTCTAAAAGACATATGACAGAGAAAGGCAGAAACAGTTAATCATCTCAGTAAAGACGGTGACACAAGATGACCAGAAGCTGCAGCAGATCAAATGTCATCAAAGCAGCACAGTCCCTGGAGATGGAGGCCCTCCAGGAACTGCTGGATGTCATGGTTTGTTCATGAGAACATCCTGGGCCTTCCCATCACACTCTGAGGCACGTCTCTGCTGCTCTCTTCCTCAGTGTCTTCCCTCCACCTCTTCTGGCTCGAGGCTTTGCAAACTGTGCAGACGTAAAGCGACAGAGTCAAGCGCTCTCAGAGCGGTAGACTAAGGAGATGACTCTGGTCACAGTGCTGCTGTCAACCTCCAGGAGTCGCACAAAGTTTCTGTAGTCAACCTTCAGGGCTCCCAGGTCCGC